CTCCAGTTTTGTGCCTTTTGAGGAGACACAAAACTGCTAAAGTTTATGTTAGTAAAACCAGATGAAGAACAGATGCTTTTTGAATCCAACTTTACCTTCCTTGCAAATTCTGCAGATTCTTGGGATACTTAAAACGGTCTGATAAGCAGACCTCAGTCTGACCTGGCAGTTTCTGTTGCCCCGTGATTCCCTAAACAGGGAGCCTGAACGGTGGTTCGTTTTCAGGAGTGTCGCCCTGTCTGCCTCTCAGCGCAGCTCACCACACCTGGGGAGGAGGTGGGACCCCCATGTGTGTATGCCGCGGAGTGGACACCGTCCACGAGAGGTCTGGACTGGGGTTCCTTGTCTGGGATGAGGAAACACGCTGAGGGGTCTTTGTTACTGAACAGAGCGTGGGGATCAGCAGGGGTCCCACGTCCAAGCGTTCCCGATTCTGATCAGAAACCAACAAAGGCACGTGCTAATAAGGCTTCTGGTGTGTCTCAAGTCTGGGGGTTTTAGTTTTCTCGTCTCAGAAACAGGCAAGGGGTACCTCAGGGGACTGTTGCTCTGACTGAAAACAAGGTAGAACACTCTGAGAGTACCAGCTTTAAGGCCAATGCCTTCTGTTTGTCTTGTAGCTTCTGACGAGCTCATCAGTTCAGGATGGGAAACCACGCGGGAAAGCGGGAGTCAAGCGCGGAGAAGGGCAACAAGGTAAGAAGTGAGCGGGTTTTGTCATTGAAATAATCCTCCTGATATGGACTGTGGCTGCAGGGTTTCCCGCTAAAACTGTTGGGGTGTTATCCCCCTGCCTTAGAAACGTCTGTGTGGTCCTTAGCACACAGACCAAGACCCACACGCCTCAGCCCGGACCCCAGCCCACGACAGTCTTACTGGGCTGGTCTTTCGGGTGGCACCTGCCCCCAATCCCTGTCCACTCCATCACTGTACTGCCCTTGGAAGGTACACATAAACAAAAGGGGAAAATGCACGTAAAAATGGTCAGAATCCTTCCAGGTCGTCAGAAGTAATCTTCTTTGTGTTTCCCGCACGGCGTCCACCTCATTTTACAGGCATCGAGGGTATTTTCAGAGGATGAGAAAACACGGCTGACCTTGTGTTCGGGACATTGAATCCGCCCTGATTGAGGGACAGGGAAGGGAAATTGCGCCGTGTCTTTGGTACTTCACGTCGACGTAACCTTATGCGTGTTACAGTCAAGACACATGGTGGCTCACGGACCGTCCTGACGCCACTTGCTGAGGGACGGGATTGGGCGGCAGCCCCAACACCCTCTCCGGAGTTCTGTAGTAAGGTTTGTGATGAATAACAGTGACCTGAGCAGCAGGGGGTCCTTCTCTGCTCTTGCCTGGACTCCTTTCCTCTATCAGCCAGGGGGGGTCATTGTCCATAATTTGCTTTAAGTCCTCCCTGTAAAGTAAAGGAGTGAGTACACTCTGTTCTCGCTCCTGTGTTACCTTCATTAGTTAAGAGCAGTGTTATCTAGCGTCTTGACTAATCATTTCAGGACCAAGATGAACCAGAAGGGACTTACCTGTGTATAGTGTCATTATTGGTTTGGAATCCTCCGTTTCCTGCTGAAAGGGGGACTGATTTTATAAATACATACATGATTCTAGTCAATATTGAATGGGGGTTGACTTGTTCATTTTTAAACCCCAAACCGTGCGACTGATCACCTCGCCGTTCTAACGGGTAGCAGTGTTGATCTGTGTGTCCAGTCGGGCGGGGTCTGCACCCGGAGCAGAGCTCCGTCCTATGGAGGTGAGAGTGGAGAGCGGCTGCCGCGGGACCGGCCACCTCTTAGCCCCGAGGGAGCGCAGTCTCCTGATGACGGATTTGGGGCCCCGGTTCTGAAATCCGCTTTGTGGCTCGAGGTTCTTTCCTGCCATTTGATGTTGTGAGTCACTGAAACATCCTCTTAATTTGTTTAATTCTACCAAAATAAGATTGTTGAGCAGAAGGAAGGCCTGTACTTGCACTCTTGTTTTCTGAAAGCTAATGTTTAACATTTGGATGATTTAAAAAATTGGGAATTTAAGAACACTGGTTCCTGTGGGTGATTGTGACATGTTAAAGCTCTTTAAAAAAAAAAAATTTGTTTTGTAAGTGGAGAGCAAGCCTTTGACAGCTTTCAGAGTGAGCGTCTGAGATGCTACACGGCGTTCAGATTTGCACCAGAAGAGAGGAAGATGACGTGAGCCCCCGCCCTACCGTGGACCATTCTGTATGCTTCTGCAGGGGATTCCGTGAGGCCTGTTTGACCTGGGGGAGAGTCGGAGCTGTGTCTGTGTCGGGGGTCGGTTGACCTGTTAATCGGAGGGTCTGTGCAGGGCAGCGTCACCTCCATCCCTCGCCACCCGGCCTCTTGCGGGAGCTGCTCTCCCCGCCCACCCTCACTCCCGCATCCTGCCGAGGACCTGCTGCCCGATGGGCTTAGGGCGACTTCCTGCTCCGGCCGAGCCCTCTGTCCAGCGCCGGGGAAGGAGACCCTTCCCAGCAGGACCCTACAGCGTCAGGTGTCTCCCCGTGACTCAGCACCTCTCAGTCTCCTGTTTCTCCCTCCCGCTGAAGAAGACACGTCAGGTGCAGGAGAAGTGGCGTTCCAGAAGGGGTAGAGAGAAGGCGCCCACGCCAACCTTGCTGTTAGTAACAGGTGATTGGACGCAGGGCCAGGTGGCAAGGCGGCTGAGAGCCCTGTTCCTGTGGCCCCAGCACAGAGCAGAATAGCCGGTGGTGAGCATTAGGGAGAAGGACCCCCGCCACGGGAGGAGCCACGCGAACGTTTCCGTGGATCATTCCCAGTCTTCAGAAATGAAGAAAGCCCCATGTTGCCTTTGGTTCCCTGTGTTTTTAAGAGTCCAGATAGTGCTGGCTCACTTGTTTATCAGCTCGTTATAACTCGGTCCATGTTTACGATGGTGATTTGGCAGAACCGGGAAGGACGCGCCCCCCTGCCCTGGCGGCTCCAGAGGACACCCACGCTTGCTGCCTGAGCCCCTGGGTCTGGGCCGAGACTCACAGCCTTCTCAGCAGACTCCACCCACAGAGGCTCCAGGAAGAAAACTGGTTCCACAGGCTAAAAATAGACTCCCTGCCTTTGGGGAGGCTGTCTGGCGGATGGCCCTTGGGAGCCAGGTAAGGAAACCGGCAAAGGGAGAGAAGACATTTGGCTCACCTGGCTACTACGGAGACTCATTACCTTTTGTCAGCTTGAATAAAAGGAGTTCGACCAACTGTCCCTTTGGAGAAACTGTCCATTTGCAGCAGGCCTTCCGTGTATGGTCCACCCATGACGGGCCCTCAGCTTAGGGTCCATAAGCAACAGGTACTCAGGATGGAGACCATATGTGTTATTTAGGCTGCCCTGGGTTTTGATTTCATTCAGTGTGGGACTCTGCATTCCCCTGCCCCCCAATTTCCTACCTCACTGAAGAAAGTAGGATTTCCAGTGCCCTGAACTATCTCTTAACATCTGAATTCTCAGCTTTGTTTGTTTTTTTTGTTTAAACACGGACATCAGTTCACTTTGGATGAACTTAAAATCTCATGATTTTTTTTTCTCCTCTGAAAGTAGAGGGTGTCTCTGGTTAGAATCATTCCTGCCAGAAAGGGGAAAATAAAGACCACCAGTGGTTTGTCTTAACATACTTGCACATTTTCTAAAATGAGTGATGTCAAGCGATGATGTCCTTAAAATGTTTAAAACCTAGCAAACTGCAATAATCTTGAAAACCTGCTTTTCATCTGTAGGTGGCCTGGGAAAAGCTCCTCTCTGGACTTTTCCTGGTACTTGTATCTGGCTCATAAAGTTCCCCACAGGTGCCAGCCATGGTTCTGGATGTTTCTATTTAATCAGCTTACGGAAAAATATACCACAGTGAAAAACAAAATCTGAGAGCTTGCAAAATGTAGGTTCACATCTAAATTTTACAGTGGGGAGTATCTTACTAGTCTGGTATTTCAGATTACACTGGTAAGTTATTTAGGCTGTTTTTCGGAGCCAGACGTGAACAATACCCACCAGCACGTTGCCTCTCCAGGGGTGACCACATCCCCGAAAAAGTCATCCGCGTCTTTAGTCGTTATTAAAACCCACTTGCTTGATGAGACCCTCCAGACAGTATCCGAAAGACATTCTGAGAAACAAGACGAATAGACACAAACGCCCTGACTCGGCTCTTCTCGTCACCATATAGACCGTCTTTCACTTTGATGGGAGCATCCATCTCCTTTCAAAGTCCTGACACCCCAGCTGTGATGGGGGCTGCCCTTGTCCACCCACGGGGTAATTCCTCAAGGCCAGTCCTCTACGGAGTGCTTTGTCCTACAACTTCTCGTCCCAGCTGTGGGATGCTGCCGGGTCCTCTCGCCCATTTAGAAAGCTCTGTTCTGGCCGTACCAGCCTCAAGAATGGGAACTAATCCTATTTGAAACCGTCATCAGCTGACACGGCTCCATACAATCATCTCTCCTCCCCACATGGAAATTAGGTTCACTGAGGGCCTGACCTGTGCGAGTTCTCCTGGGGGACGTGTCCTCAGTGTCCCCTCCCCGCACATCTGTGGGGGAGTGTGCCCAGGGCACCCCTCCCACCACCAGCCCCAGGCTGGGCGATGGCAGGTGAGCTCTCCAGGGAACTCCAGCACGCGAGCCTGGGGCGGGGGGCTGTCCGTGCGTCGGGCCCGGGGCAGGGGGCTGACCGTGCGTCGAGCCTGGGGTGGGGGGCTGTCCATGCCTCTGGGAGAAGGGCACGGCGGGACTGAGACCGGGCCCTTCAGATCTCCAAACCCAGAGGCGCCGTTTCCGCCCGAAGCCACACGTCCTCCCACACTTCCTTGTGCAAAGTGACGCTGTCACCGCGGCTGTTTCACAGAATGCGAAGTGAACCTACTAAGAAAGCCACTTTGTGCAGTCGCCCCGACCCCAGCCTGCATGCGATGGCAACGGGGCTGTGGGGTCGATGGGCGCTGAAGAGTCACCCAGAAGTAGTTACCTTCCTGATGGGCTGGTGGCGCCTCGGCAATTGTCAGACCCAATGGGTGTAATATCTGTTTTCTTGGGCAAGTCGCATAAGAAGCATTATTGAGAACTCCAGTCATTCTTAAGTGAATCATACACGTTTAAAACTCAGGGATCTGAAGAGTGGAAGGTACTTCCTCGCAGGCGTGCACCAAGTCGCCTGGTAGCTGGAAACCCGTCGACAATGTGTAGTAAATCCTTAGACGGCGAGAAACAGGCCGACGCCCGTCATAGCTCGTCTTCTGCTGTGTTGCAGAGCTCGTTCTGTCTCTGTACGTCTAGCTCACACACACCGCCCGTGTGGAAGTCCCATCGACCTCGACTGGGGAGCGCGGAACTATCTTCCAGACACACACAGCTGGGAAGCACACGATACGTGGCTAGTGCCACTGCAGAACCAAGTTTTAAATGTTATTTAATTTTAAATACTTTAGACGCCAATGGCCACGTGTGTGGAGGGGCATCGTGGCCTCCTGGGTCCTCCGTCCATGTCACCTTGGTTCTCAGAGCACCTAAAACCCTGCCAGCAAGTGTCAGCACGGTTTTGGCAGTGAAAAGAATTCCGGTCTCTCTCAGAGTCGTGGAGTTTCGTGCAAAAGCTAATACTGGACGTGGAAAGTAAGATCCTCTGAGAAGCACAAACATATGTACGAATACCAGAAACTGCAAAG